GGAGAACGTCTCAGCTGCCGCTGGGGAGAGCAGTTTCCGGAGCACCGAGGGACCCACCAGCCACCGAAGATGCCGAAGCCAGTAAGTCCCAGATTTGGCCGGTCGGGCGCGCCGGCTGTTTCCGAGGGAGGTACCTGCCCCGGCTGCTGCGGCGGCTGGGCCAGAACCCGGCTCTGGGCCGGCACCGGCCCGCGGTGATCGGGCAGACGACGGGAGGAGGGAACCGTTCCCCCTTTATTACTTTTTGGCCTTTCTGTGAAAGTCGGAGAAAACACGATCTGACGCTTTTCTCTCCACGTTCCTTTTCTCTACGGGCCCCCTCCCCTGGAGCCGGGAGGCCCCTCTTACATCCTCTGCGGGTTTAAAAGTACATGCTCATGCGACTGTGAAGTTTCTGAAGCCCCGATCGCTGCGGGACGACGTTGCCCAAGTCTGAGTTTCTTCTAGTGGCCACAGTCAGATGCAGCCCCGGTCTGCCAGCGGCCTTGTGCCCGGGAACCTGCTGGCTGCAGCAGGACTGCTACCTCGGGGAGGGTGAGCCGTGGACTTGAGTTGCAGACGATAAGGAGACCCGAGACCCGCCGGGCGCTCTGGGGTTGGTCACTCCACCCGCGAAGGTCAGCTGATTAGCGCGTCGCCCTGTACCTGCACCTCTGTCCTCTGTCTCCTCAGGTGTGATTGTGTTGAGATTGCAGGCCAGGCTGGAGGGGGAGCAGCCTCTTGTGACGCATTTCTTAGAAAGTGGTGTGCAGTCTACCTGGGCCCCACTGGCCACCCGCGGGGAGGGCTTAGCATGTTTTAGTAGAGCTTCAAATGACAAGGGAGAAAATAGCAGGACTCCCTAAAAATTGCTCCCAAAAAAGGAAAAAGTACATGTGGACTTGGGTTTTAGTTTTTCAAACAAGCTGATTCTGTACTCAGAGGTCATGTACTTGTTCCACGCTTAAATTGTGTTGTCTTTAAAAGTTCTTAGAAGCGTTATTTCACTGTTAGGGTCAAGACATTACTCAATTTAGTATGGTAGGATGTCAAGAAGCCAACAGTTTTTGCTTAATTTACATCATTAAGATGATTTGTTCATGAAGCAAAATGGTTCATGATGCAAAATGGTTTTTTTACCTACAAAAAGTTTTTCTTTTCACTTCAAACTTGAAAGTGACAGGCTTTTCAATGCCTGTGGTGTAACCGACCAAAGTAGACCAACCCCTCACTCCAGCGCTGCTGAGAGCACTTTTTTTCCCACTGAGAAAGGAGAGGCGGAGTTGAGCTGGGCTGGGAAGATGGCATGCAGAAAAAAGCCTGTAGGCCTACTTCCAGTCACCGCTTTTCCTTCTTATAGTGCACTGCAGTTTCTCTTCTTTTCTCTCTTAATGTGGAAAATACACGTTAAGTTTTATCACTCAGCCCTTGTAGGCTTTGAGAGCACCCCAGTTCTGCAGGTATAGCGCGTGTCCCGAACCCCGTCTTCTCAGGCTGACACTCGGTACCAGAGGCCCCAGCTTCCCGTTCCCACAACCCCGGTCTGCTCTGTCTCTGACTACTCTAGGTCCCCAGAGAGCTGGACTCATCGAGCGATTGTCTTTTATGACTGATTCGCTTCCGTTCACGCGTTTGCAAGGTTCATCCCTGTGTGTGTCAGAACTTCCTTTTATTTCTTATGTCGGGTATGTTTTAATTTCATTTTCTTTGAAGGTCTTTTGTGACTGGTGGGCATTTAAAAAATGTTTCTGGGTTTTGACAAAGTAAAGGTCGTTGCCAGACTGAAAGCAGCTTACCTTGTCGCCAAGTTCACCTGGTTTATTAGAGCCTCATTGAGCGGAGGCCCCTGCGAAAGACTTCCGTCTTGTAGAACAGCTACAGTTAGGATTTTCAAACTTGTGGGGAGGGCTCTTTTAGGTGAGCCCCGCCTCTCTGCCGTGGAAGTTCCTCTCTGCCCTTCTGGGTGTGGGAAGATCTCAGCGATAAAATGGACAGAGAAAACACTTAAGCTTTCCTTCGTGTGAATTATGCGAGAGTCCACTCCAGGCTCCCAGGCTCACGGGGAGGAGCTTGGTGGCCAGCGCGTACTCAGACATGGCACTTCAGGGGTTGTGACAGAGTCTAGTTTGCTGGGTTTGTTGGGTTTTGGGAGTTTTTTGCTGCCTCAGTAATTGGTAAAAGGAAGCACCCATCAACCTGCCCTATAAATGTCACCCCCCCCCCCTTTTTTTTTTTGCTATAAGGTACGCACTTGCCAGGGAGAGAGGAGGAGAAGGAAATCACCCCCCACCCTGGGGCGGGGTAAATGACACAGGACAATCCCTTCTCCACTCTGCTTTCAGGGCTTTGGGCACACACGTACACACACACGTGTACCCTCTGATTCTCATGGCATGGGATCCTGGACTCGACCTGGCAAGCTAGATCTGTGGCCTCTGGCACTTCAATCTCCACACCAACTGCTGGTTTTCCGGATGTGTCCTGTCAACTATTCAGACCCATGCTAAGAGTTTCGTGGTGGCTTCCATGGGGCGTGGTGGCTTCCATGGGCTGTGCTGTTCACAACAGGACTAAAGGGCAAACACACTGGAAGGTGGATACAGCTGAGTAGTGGGGTTTGGGGCTTCCACCTGATCTATTGTAACTTGGCAGGGAAAATATTTGCCGATCTGTCTAACCTGTGTCCTGTGGGTGATTTCACACATTAGTATAGGTGAAATATACACTTGCTGTTTTTCTCTTTTTATAATTTTCTTTCCTTTTTTTTTTTTGGTTTTGTTTTGTTTTGTTTTTGAGAAGTTTTTGCCATAGAGCCTGTGCACTCGCCAGAAAGAGAGAGAGAGAAAGAGAGAGAGAAAGCAAGAAATCACTCCCAGGGGGGATGGCCACGCCGCAATCCCTTCTCCTCCATTCTCCTCTCGGGATCTTGGGCACACACAAGCACGCATGCCTGGTGTTGAGTTTAAGCCACCGGGTCCGGGACTTGGACTTCGATTGACTACAGGGCAGTCCAACGATATAGCCATTATGTGAATTGCTGGTCCCTGTAATTTTATTTTCTAAGTTTACTAATTTCCTCCCAGAGAGAGAGGCACACCTCCAACAGGGCTCTAATGCCGTGACCTACCCCCAGTCCCAGCTTGCCTGGATCAGGGGTACAAGCGAGTGTGCTTGGTGTGTTCAGAGAGATTTCAGGATGTGAACCCAGGAACCCAGAGAGAACTCAGGATGTGAACACAGTGCCGCTGTGCTGCCGCGTGGTCCCCTGCTGTGTTTCTCACAACACTGCTCCACTGATTAAAGAGATGAAGATTGGTACCAGCAATGGCATAATGGTTATGTCTCTGGGCTCCTACATAATCCACCACAGTTCAAGTCCTGGACCCACTGGGTGCGCGTGTGTGCACATGTGTGCCCAAGATCCTGGAAAGAGAAGAGATCATGGTGTGGCTGTCCCTCCCCCTGGGGAGTGGGGGCGATTTCTCACTTTCAGCTTCTCTTTCTGCCTCTCCAGCAAGCGCACATGCCCTATAGGAAAAATCTCTCTTAAAAAAAGAAAAAAAGAGGGACCAGCAGTTAGCGTAATGGCTATGTCGCTGGAGGTCTGAGTCCCGGACCCAGGGGCTTAAAACTCACACTGGGCATGTGTGCGTGCCCAAGATCCCGAGAGGAGAAAGGAGGAGAAGGGATTGTGGCATGACCATCCCCCCTGGGGGGTGATTTCTCACTTTCTGTCTCTCTGTCTCTGTCTGGCGAACGCACGCGCCCTATAGCAAAAACCTCTCCAATAAAAAAAAAGAAGAGGTGAGTGTTACTGGCTGAGCAAGTGGGGCACCTGCACGGGTGACAGAACTTGTCCTCTGGGTGCGTGCAGTCTGGTACCCGGTCACAGCACGGGCACATCGCTCAGTGTTGTCACTTCTGGCAGGAGTCTAGGCAGAGAGGTGGCATAGTTAGGAAGAAAACCATCTGGGAGGAAGTGGGCAGACTCCCTCGAGAAGTGACATCTGAGCCGAATCTTCCCCAGGGCTGCAGGGAGGATTGGTTGGGCCAGGCCCTCCAGGGGGAGGCCAGCTGCCGCTGCTCTCTGGTGTGCCCCCCCTCAACCCTGCTGACTGGGGTTGTGTTCATGTGATTGCGACTTCCAAGGAGGGCGATTCGAGTCTCCCCAGGGTGCCTCAGCCTCTTCGCAGGTTGTCACCAGCGCGAACTGTGCCTCAGCCTCTTCGCAGGTTGTCACCAGCGCGAACTGTGCTGTGTGTGTGTGGCTTGAGGGCTCCTGTGTCTGGGGAGAGGTACAGGGACAGGGCAGCTGCCCAGGGAGTTGGTTCCGGAAGCAGCCCTGTGCCCCCTTCGGGCTGGGTGAACTCTGGGCTCCTTCCTCCATCGTGATCGAGGGGGACATGGAGTGAGTGAGGGGACCTCTGTCTCAGGCTTGGGGTGAATGAGTGCTGGGTTTAAGGCTGCCAGGAAAGCTCAGAAGTGAACCAGCAGCAGGTGCCTTTTTTTTTTTTTTTTTTTTTTTGAGAGGTTTTTGCTATATGGTGTGTGCGCTCTCCAGAGAGACAGAGAGCGAGAAATCACCCCCCAGGGGGGATGGCCATGCCACAATTCCTTCATTCTTCTCTTGGGATCCTGGGCACACATGTACACGGTGTAAGTTTAAGGCACTGGGCCCGGGACTCGGACCATGGTCGACTACATGGGAGTCCAGCAACATAGCCATTACACCAACTGCTGGTCCCCAGGTGCTTTAACTGGGCACTGCTAGAATGTCATTACAGAAGTTTCTAGTAGGGAATATGTTTACGCTTCATGAGGAAAACTGAAAGTGTGTTCCGATTTCTATCCTGTGCCAATTTTTAAGATTATTTTGGGGATTACCTTGCATCTTTGGGAATACAAGACTTTTCCATTCTGTTTGAACAAGGGCAGGATTCACTGAATACACCCATACGTTTTATGTCACTCCCTCCCATCCCAAGGAGGAGGACGCTTGGCTCTCACTCCACCCTTCCCCCTCCCCCACAGGCAGATGGTGAGTGAGGTGGCTGAGACTTGCCGGGTGGCAGTGGGACGTGCCGGCTGGGGTCTGGTTGGCC